GATGTGATCTCGGTGCATCTATGGGCTCCTCAGATCTGAAGATCTCGTGCAGAACCCCTCTTATCTTCACACCTGCTGACGGATTTGTTCGATGTGATCTCTCGACGACCGAAAAGAATTCTATGGAATAGAAGCTTTGGACACTTCTCGACGAGCAGTCAGTTGGCTCTTCTGTTGCCGCAACTAGCGCACGCCTTAAAACAATCACCGTCGATTTCTGATATAGCCAAGCCCTCGAACCTCTTAACCTTTTGTGGACCCGGTTCCCGTGCAGCATGTATTTGGGCTGCCAGAAGGGAGGTCCTGGCCGCTCTTTCTGCTGCCACTTCTCGTGCAAACATCGGGACATCTCGTTCAGTTCCTCGAACTTTGAAGTCAGTCAGCAAGTGTTCCGGCTGCCGGAGGGCGAGGTCCTGGCCGCCTCGTTCCGCTGCCACAACACGCGCAAGCACCAGAATAGTCAACGTAGCTCTCAAACCCTAATTTTAACCCATTTCCCAAACGTCTGTTAACCCGTTCCGTGCAGCAAGTGTTCGGGCTGCCGGAAGGCGAGGTCCTGGCCGCCTCCTTCCGCTGCCACAACTCGCGCAAGCACAAGGGCACGCTGTTCGTGTGCCAGCACTTCGTGGCGTTCAAGACGCTCCTCACTCACACGGGCGACGCGCACAGCAAGCTCGTGCTGCCGCTGGAAAAAGTCGCGCGCCTAGATAAGCACCGCGCGGGGGGCCTCTACGTTGGGCTGTTCAACCGGCAGCCCGTCAAGTTCGGCGGGTTGAAGAAGCAGCGGGATGAGGCGTTCGACGCGATCGTGCAGCAGACGGTGGGTACCGGGTGGTACCTCGAGCGGTACCTGGGGGAGCACATCCGGGCCCGCACGGGCGCCGCGGCCAAGGAGATGGAGCTGCGCAGTGAGTGACGTGATCTTCTGGCCGCGTGACGTTTGCCGTTGCTTTTGACGTCACATCTTGATACTGCCCAGTTGTACGCTCCTTCAATGGCGCTCGGTCTGTGGGAAGATTTCTTGAGATACTCATGAGAGGCCGGTCGGGTTGCTTGTGGGCTTCAAGTCGTTTGTTCCTCTGCAGAGCAGCTTATCCGGTTTTGCATCGAAGAGAGCGTTAGTGTCTTGGTTGCTCGCTTCCTAGAAGCTGTTGCAGCTTCTATAATGGGTCTGGTCCTCAAGACGCAGCCTCGTACTCAATTCGTTTGGGCTGCAGGTCTGGAGCTCCGAACGATTCACGATGTCCCGAATGCCGAAACAGCACGCGAGGCTCCAGCACTAGAACTGAAGCGAGGAAGGCTGCAGTCGTTAAGTCGTTGAGTCGTTCTCTGGCAGGGTACAATACCTCCCGGTTGAGCCGCGGAATACTCACCTCGCTACAGCAATACTTCCCATTCGATGATACACAACCAGAAGTAGAACAGACTGAGTCTGAAGTTTCAAAAATCGTTTTTTGCAGGGTACAAAACGTCCCGGTGGAGCCACGTCCAGAACCAGCCGGGCGACCTTATCTGCTATGGGACGTACCTGTGTTTTTCGCGCCCGGACCACGACAAGCTGAAGCAGATACGCTATGACGACATCAAGGACATCAGGGTCGGCCACCGGGGCCTCACGCAGGGGGTCAAGATCGAGACCCGCGCCGGCAAGCAGGTATGCTCCCCTGTCCGGTGGAATCTCGTTTCCTCTGATAAAAGGTCATTGATACCGGTGTGCAGGTGCGCTTTCCGCTCTTCCTGAATTAGCCCCCTGTATCTCTCAATCTCCTTCTCTTGCGGGTTGGTCTTCGTCAAGATCCGCGCCGGCAAGCAAGTACGCCCACCTGTCCGGTGACATTCGCTTCTCTCCACGGTAGGTGAAAGATACCGGTGCGCATTCTGAGCTGTTTTGAATCAGGCCCCTGTCTTTCTCGATCTTCTTGTCTTCTGCGGTCTTTCTGTCAAGAGACTGGCGCCAGCAAGCGAGTACGGCCCCCGGTCCGAGTAGAAATTCCTTCCCGAGCGGTGGCTGATGCTTATGCGCTTCTGCTCTGCCGGGATAAGGATCCTCCTTTACTTTGCCATGCCTTTCTTGTGTCCGCTTCTATCAAGATCGAGAACCGAGCGGGCAAGCAGGTACGCCTCCTGGTCAAGTGGATCTCCCTTTTCTTGGCGGTTGATACTGGTGCGCTTTTTGCTCGTCCTGAGTCAGCAAGGTCTTGCTACGTCTTCAACTACGACCAGTCTCTGGTCGAAGAATGCCTTTTATCCGTGGAAAGGTGGAAGGGAAATTTCACAACGACGGGTGCTTTCTTTCCTAACAACAATGGGTGCTTTCTCTCTAACAACGACGAGTAGACTTCTCGAGCCAAAGCACGTTTCGAAGCGTTTGCCCTTCCTCTCCGGCAGTACCTCTTCACCAAGTTTGCGGACGTCCAAGAGCCGACCGTCGTAGCGGAGCTCCGCCGGCTGGTCTTCAACGAGGCGTCCGAAAAGGCTGCGTCCGCACTCCGGCCCAAGCTCAAGCTCCTCACCTTCTCCCAAAAGACGGTGTCCAACTCCTCCATAGAATCAAAGGCCCCGGAGATTTCGTCGGAGCTCGTCGCGGCGGGGGAGAAAGAAGCGCCGGCCGCGGAAACAGGGCCCGGCGATCTGGACGCCGCCAAAGCCAAGGGCGGCATGCGCAAGCTGCTCTCGCGGAAGGCTTCCGCGGAGGGCGCGACGTCAGCGGGGGCGGGGGTGACGTCAGCGGTGGCGGCCGAGGCTGGCGGCGGGACCCCGGGGAAGACGTCGAAGCTGCGGAGCTTCGCCAAGTCGGTGACGGGCAAGGCCGGGAAGGGATCCCCCGCCAAGGCGCCGTCGGAGGCGTTCCTCAAGAGCGAAGAGGCGTACACACCACAAGCTGGGGGGCAGCTGGCCCCCATGGTGGAACCCCCTGGGGCGGAAGCTGCGACCCCTCCGGGCGGGAAAACGAGCTCCTCCCGCTTTGCTGCTGCCCGGAACCTCGCACGAGGGTTTGCGGGCAAGGGCTCAAAAACGGGCCCGGTTGAGGAAGAGAAAGCCGCGGAGGGTGCGCCCCTGAGTGAGGAACCAGTTACGTTAGAAGTAACCGAGGCAGTGGACGGGATTGTCGCCCCAGTTGCTGCGCCCGAGCTGGAGACGCCCCCGGTTGTTAGCGAACCGGGCAAGGAAATGGTGAACGGGGAAAGTGGAAACGGTGGCTCGCCCGCAATAGCCACGCCAAAGAAGTCGTGGGCGGGGAGTAGGAAAGGTTCTAGTGGCAAGTCACCCAGGTGGCAAGGGTGACGTGGATGATACGTGGGTGAAACGGGGAGGTGACGTGGATTGCTTGAATGCTGTACAGCGCTGCCTCCGAAATCGCTGCACATGCGGCAGTCCAATGTCGGTCCTAATATAGTCGTTATAGAAAGAGGGTACCTAGCGAGTTACTTTATGTGTCAGTGTCGTCTATAGATACTTCCGGTCGTTTTCGGTCAATAACTTTCCTCAATAGGAACATACGGTTTGCTACTAACATGCAGTTTGCAGCTGTGTCCACAGATTCCTAAATGTGACTGCACATTGAAACAAGACTCGTCAACGAAGCGAGGTGCATCGGGTCCTTTTACCTGGAGACACCAACATTTTGCCACGAACTTAGCTAAGATGATGGAGAGTTGACACTACTGTTTTTGGGACTCACTGATATCTCGTGAAGAAACGAAGTGCAGCACGTACATGCTCTCGAGTCGCAAGGCACTGCCGGGGGCCCAGCTATAGGCATAACTATGGTCGATTTGTGTAGGTTCATCTACTCAGGAGTGCATATCAAAAGACATTTTATGCGGCCATCTGCTATATCACCATATGGTTTCTTTGGCGGTCTATGTGTTCAGTAAGATCGACGCGCAGATTTGGCCTGGAAATTATTCATAATATCAAGCTGAATAGATGAATGTATCTTGCAATTGTGTCATGTGTGCATGTATATGCAAAGCTTGTATCAACAATTACGTTTAGAATCAGTGCAAATGACCGGCGACCGCGCGAGCAGGCTGCACATCTACATGGACTCTAGGCTGCCGCGGGGCGGCCTCAGTGCTATACTAAGTAAGGCCACATCATGTCGACTGTACTGCATTCGGCAGATATGAATCTGTATACTGGCATGCGATAGAGCCGCCATCAGCTGATCTGTTATCCTATATGTATATAGTCGAATTAACAAAGCCACATACATGGTTTGAAAAAGCGTTCCATAGTATGTACACGACTGTGGATCGTGTGACAGCCTGGCAAATACGTGCAGGATACACGTA